GATTTTGAAATGGTTTCCACCATTCACTAATAAAAATGGCTCACTGCCTGAACTATTTGCACAAACAATGTGGTTTATGTTGAACACCTGCTTTTATTCTGGGAGTCTGGAAATTTGGTACGTGTTAGGTAGAGTGACTACAAGACCAGCCCCCAATAGAAACCTTGGGCACTGAGTCTATAATGAGCTTCCCTGGCAGACAACATTTCATATGTGCTCTCACAACTTGTTGCTGGGGGAATTAACCACGTCTGGTATGACACGGGGCAAGGGCACTTAGAAGCTTATGTATGGTGTCCCCAGACTTCACTCCATCTTTTCTCTTCCATGACTCTGCTTTGTAGACTTTCATTGGAATAATTCATAGCCATGAGTACAACTATATGTTAAGTCCTATAGTGAATCACTGAACTTAGAAGTGGTTTTGGGGACTCCTGACAAACCTCAATTCTGGAAAAGAAACATTAATGTAATACTGGTAAAATCGAAATAAAGTCTAAATTTCAGTAGTTTCTTAGTTGGCAAAGGTACCATAAAAATGTAAAATGTTAACAATAGTAGAAACTGGATGAGAGGTAAAAGAGAACTCTCTGTATTACCTGTATAACTTTTTTGTAAATCCAAAATTACTCTCAAAAAGTTTCCTTTAAAAAAAAAATCACCCGAACTGAACACTTAAAAAAACCTCTCACCACTTGGAGGGAGGAAGGGAAGGGGGAGAAAGGGGGGGGGAAGAGTGCGCTTTATTTACTATACCCAAAGAGACACATTGTATTAAAAAAGGGGGAAAAAATCAGACTCAGGACCTTATTGTGAGAGTAGAATTTAAAAGATAGAATTTATGACTCACAGCATAAGACCTACATTAATTTCAGGGCCCTGATGGGGAAGGAATAATACCTTGAGAGCCATGATAGGAATTACCTGGGTGGTTATCCTTGAGAACTCTGAACTGATAGATTTACCCAGACATGCTGGATCAACAGTGGTGGTGGACTTCCCCTTGCTAGAGGACAGTGGCCTCCCTTTGCTGGAAGACCAGGCAGAAGTCTCACCTAAGAAGGAAGCTCTTACAGGTCTTAAAATGCTTCCTCCTCTTCTCAAGGTTGTCATAGCCCCTTCCAGTATTTCTAGATCAGTAACTAGGCTCAAATTTCATTACAGCCTGACTGAGGAAGCATTGCTCCTGCTTCGAAATAAAAAAAGTACCAAGTATGTATTAGAAAAATCAGAACATACCTGGGGATGGTTCTTGATGTATGTGTAAAGGGATGGTTCTTGATGTATGTGCAGGGAAAGTGAACTGAGGTAAAGATACCATGTATTTGTTGAGTATTAATCTCTTGACCAAAAAAGCCTCAAAGAGCCTATTTTTAAGAGAGATTTTTGCCTTAGGGCACATGCACTCACCAGAGAGACAGAGAGAAAGCGAGAAATCATCCCCCAGGGGGGATAACCACACCATAATCCCTTCTCCTCCATTCTCCTCTCAGGATTTTGGGCATGCATAAACAGGTGCCCAGCATGAGTCTTAAGCTGCCAGGTCTGGGACTCAAACCATGGTCGACCACGTGGGAATCCAGTGACAATGATTATGTCATCTGCTGGTCCTAAAAAGGCTAATTTTTACTGAAATTGCTAAGATCTTGTTCTGTTATCCAGAAGATAAGGGCCCCAAAATGTTGTATTACCAGAAAAATTTTAAAAGTTGCATTTCTTTGCATACCAATCCAAAGGCTGCAACTGACCTATTTTTTAATCACCCAGTTACTTCATTAGGTGATGTAACAAACTTTATATCCTCGTTTCCAACAGAGTCTAGCTCTTTGTGACTATTAAATATGTTAACTGGAAAAACTCACCAAGAGACTGAGTATGTATAAGTATATACATAGAAGATAAATACCTATGGGTACTCAAGAAAGCTTGCTGTTAAGGAGAAGGAGCTAAAGTCTATAAAATGTGAATGCTTTGCAAATACTATTCCTCAGCCCTGTACTCTTAATATAAGCTTCTCTAAGATACTAGGTTGGTGCAAAAGCAATTGTGGTTTCAGACTATGAATTTTAAATCATTATAATTAGGCTCAAACACACCTACAGTAATCAAAATAGGAACCACTACAATCAACATTTTGCTGAGAAATGTTTGTCTAACCCTGCAGCATAAAACTTCCAAGTTTTGGGATCCAACGAACTCTTGGAAAGCATTTTCTGCATCCTGCTGGTTGTGGAAGTGTTTCTCTGCAAAGAGTTGTCAAGATGCTTTGAGAAGAGGTAGTTGGTTGGCTAAAGGTCAGGTAAGTATGGCGGATGAAGCAAAACTTCATAGCCCAATTTGTTCAACTTTTGAAGCATGGGTTGTGCAATGTGCTGTGGGGTGTTGTCTTGGAGAAAAACTGGGCCCTTTCTGTTGACCAATACTGGCTACAGGTATTCCATTTTCAGTGCATCTCACTGATTTACTGAGTAAACTACTCAGATGTAATGATTTCACTGGGATTCATAAAGATGTAGTGGATCGGTCTCCACCAAACAATGACGATGACCTTTTTTTGGTGCAAGTTTGGCTCTGGAAAATGCTTTGGAGCTTCTTCTCAGTCCAACCTGAGCTGATTGTCACCTTTATTGTATAAAATTCACTTTTTGACACATCACAATCCAATCAAGAAATGATTCATTGTTGTTGCACAGAATGAGAAAATGACACTTCAGTGGCATTTTTTTTTTTTTGGTCAGTTCACGAGACACCCACTTATTTAACTTTCTCACCTTTTCAGTTTGCTTCAAATGCTGAATGGCTATAGAATGGTCCACAATGAGTTCTTCGGCAACTTTTCATGTAGCTGTAGGAAGATCAGCTTTAATGATTGCTCTCAATTGGTTGTTGTTAACTTCTAATAGCCAGTCACTACACCTATCTTAAAGGCTCTTCTCTCGTTTGCAAAACTAGAACTACCACTGCACTGTATGTTCGTTAGTAGTTCCTGGGCCCATGCACTATTGATGCTACAATTGTCTCCACAGCTTCACAATCCATTTTGAACTTGAATAAGAAAATTGCTAAAATTTGCTTTTTGTCCAACATCATTTCCATGGTCTAAAATACATATAAACAGCAAGTCATTAACAAAAAGAAAGAAAAAATGCACATTAAAATGATGTATAACGGAACCACATTTAAGAATGTATTCAATTTCCTGGGGCCAGCAGATGTTGTAATGGTTACTTGGTGGACTCCCATGTAGTCAACCGGTTCAAGTCCCAGACCTGGTGGCTTAAAACTCATACTGGGCACACGTGTATGCATGCCCAAAATCCTGAGAAAAGACTGGAGAAGTGATTGCAGCATGGCCATCTACCTGGGTCCCAGGGTGGGAGGGGTGACTTCCTGTTTTCTGTCTAGTGAGCACATGGGCCCTATAACAAAAATCTCTCTTTAAAAAAAAAAAAAAAGTATCCAATTCACATGGCAAATTTCAAAGAATGCAAAACCACAATTACTTTTGCACCAACCTAAATATCTTTACAGTTTCCAAGTGTTGCAATAGCTTCCTAAACTATTCTATCTGGGTCTGCTTCTTCATATACACATTGCACGCTGGTTCCTAATTATATTCCAAAAAGTCTTATTATACTGTTGTGCTGTTCAAATATCTATAATTGATTATCTAGTGCTTTATATGGAAAATTTTCCTTAGTGTGTTCATTAATGTTCTTCTCAATGTTTCCTTCTATCATCAGCTAGCCTTGTCTTCTACCCTATACTAAGCCTTACCTCTAGACAAACCTAATAAAAAAAACTCCAAACATATCTTGAACATTGTATGTTCATTTTTTTAAAAAAAATCCTCTTCACCTGCAAGTAGTTCCTTCTCATATGTGCACTTTCTTTAAAATATAACCATTTTTCTGAGTTATCCCATCTATAAGGTTACTTCTACAGCATCAATTCTTCAGAGATTGTAAGATGGTTTTGTTCGACCTATTGTTTAAAACGTTGACGTATCCCTCAAGACTTAAGTAAAACAGTTTAAAAATTGGAATATCTAGTAGCCTTCATATGTCAGTGACCAAAATTTTCTAATAGCTACCATCTTTAGAAATGTGCGGTGCAGTTCCAAAGAGATGCTTTATTTCCGAAGTAGTTATTGAACACTTACTACTTTCCAGTTTTAAATACTTGGGATAAAGCAGTGGACAAAATTCATCATGGCGTATATATTCTAAAGGGAGAAGACAGACACATCACCATTGATTATATAGTACAAACTGAAAAAGGAAGCAGAATAAAATGAAACAGGGATAAGAGGGATGGGGGTGTGTGCAGTGTTTATACCTTTATATTTAAATACTTTCATGGAATTTTTTAGTTTGATTCTTATTAATACACGAATCGTCACAGACTATCATGTATGTTATGAATTCTTCAGTGGAAGGCAGGAAATGTGGCTCAGCTGCCTTCAGATTCCCAGAGTCCAGCAGTGTTTTCATGCAGAGGACACGATCGGAAGTAAAATGTTGCAAGTTCCCATAAAGCCACAGTCATTTCGACCACCGCTGTCCCTGGCGTATTTTCTGGTGGGGTTTGGCTCGGGCCGTGAGAAGGGTGCGACACCAGAAAAGTCCAAAAGCACAGCCAAGCACTGCGCAGACCTCCAAAGCCATCTGAACCGCGCCAGCAGCTCTGTTTCCACCGTCACTGTGACGCAAGCGTAGCTGCGTGCCCGCATAACCAAGAAGGACCCCAGCCGTGGATGAATGAACGAACTTCACTAGTGAGAAGAAAACCGCCTCCAGACCCTAGTGCCGGGTACGAAAAGCCCCGGGCCACCCCGCGGGCTGCCGAGCCACAGCCAGCACCGCAGCTTCCGGGCCTCCGGCATCATCCAGTTCAACAGCGACGATTTCCGGTCCCGAAGGTCCTCGGCTCCGTGGCTCGCCAGGGTCCTCGCAATGGGAAGGTGTCCACAACAAGCGCCTGATCCCTGCGGGGAGCTGGGACGGGCGTGGCCACCACCTCCCTGAGGGCGGAGACAGCAGGGGCGCGGGGAGGATGCCCGCGATCCGAGGGACCTCGCCCCAGGTGGGAAGCTGGGGGCGGGGCGCGCACTCGGAGCCGGCCAGTCAGGCGGGAGCTGGGCAGGTGCGGTGG